AATGACCAATTATTGGAACTTGCCTCACATGAAGTGGCTGCACGAAGGCTTCAAGACATAAACACTGTACTTGCTGCTTTGCCTAACAATTGTCGCATAGTTGGCAAGGAGCATAAATTTTATATAGTTAATCCAATAATTCTCTATCTCTTTTTCTGGGGATAACTATCTCTTACTTTGCTTATATACGCTGAAATGACCAATTATGGGGTCCTTGTCTGGCTCTACTTCTCTTGAAGCAAGTCAGTTCAAGAATTTTGTCAATGGTATTGAGGAGGACCAGCCTTTGTTTTTCGTGATATGGACCATTTTTCCCTCCTTTCTTCATCTCTTCCTTCAATATGTTTTATTCTTATGATGTTATCAATTGCATTACAAGTCAGATTGGTAACTTTTCCAACTCAGAACTAGAGCAATATTTGGCGGAGTTTGTGAACGGTATATTTAGCTTAATCTGATCAGCATATTAAATGCTTTATTGACTTCTGTATATTACTTAGAATAGGCTAATTAACCATGACATAGAACTTCTGTATCCGTTATTGCCCTGCCCTATGTTAGGCTGTTGCATTTACTTCAAGGCCGAGCTAATCTTGAACGTTTTGTGAATTAAGGGTTACTTGTGAAGTGTACCAATCTTTCGTTCTTGTTCCTCTCGCAATCAATCATATATTTGTATTGGATTGATACCATTACAAATTTACGCATACAATTAACTTAATCCATGTTAGTTAATGTAGCTAACTTCTCCTGATCATGTCAGAAACATTCGGTGCCAATGGTTTTTGAGCTATTTTTTCCCTGGATATTGAAATGAATAAAGTATGGAAGTGATAATAACTAAAGAGTAACCTATTCATTTTTTAATTTGTTAAAGTTATTAACATACGAATTGTGTTAGAGAGATACACCTCGAGAGAACTCATCAAAAAATCCAATATATAAGAGATATGAGTCAGAAACTCAATTTTGATTCAAAAGTTTAAGTTATTAGGTTTCAAACTCTTACTTGCATATCTAAACTTTCTCCATCTCTCGAATCAATGTGGTACTCATGAACCTAATATTCTTTTCGTTTATGAGTAACCCTTCACATTGAATCCAAGTTTACAAACTCTTCTCTAAACCCACTTTAATGCTCAATACAAGTGCACCTTAACACCTAAAGTCATCTCTTCTTGCAATTATAGACCCACTCTTCTTTAACATCCAAATTGGATTACAGACCCCTTAACAACCCATGACTCTTTGATCTAACACCAATAAGACTTCCTGCCAAAACCATGACGTACCTAATCCAACACCAGCCAAATTCTTTGGTACTTTGGTCCACCACTAAGAAGAGAAATTTTACCAGTCCAATTTACTATGAGTAGTCCAGACTCATAATCAGAAGCTCTGATACCATTTATTGGGATCCAAGCATGAAACAAAGAACTATTGAGATATCAAATATATAACAATTTAATGACAAGTAAGTCACAAATATGAAAGATAAATTATACATAAGATTTAATATGGTTCAACTCTATCATGGATCCTACGCCCACGGAAAGAAAATCAATTCATCACTATGAGAGGAAATCCTATAGAAGAATACAACTTGAATCCAATCCCAACCCTTATATACCATCTCTCATATTTCAAGAATCCTCTCTCACCCTATGTATAAGATTGCATGTTGCCCTTACATGTCACTTTGTTGTATGACAAACCCCACCTATTTATAAGCTACATTGCTTGGCTAATACTCAAATAATAATAGGAAATAATTGTTAATTCCTAATCTTATATAGAACAGAAAATAATTTCTAATTCCTAAATTTATAAAAATAAGAAATTTCTTGGCTATTACTTCAAGTAACTAAAACCAAATAGGAAACTAAAACCAAAACAAGAAACCTGTCTGAAAGAAATTAACCCAATTTCCTAACAAGTTGATGTGAACTTTTTATCGTCCTTAAATTTAACATGCTTATTATAATTGAATGTTATGTTAATGTAGCCTAAAACTCTTAGAAAATTATTCAACATTTTTTATTGTATTGGCGCTTGGAAGGCAGTGAATTTATATCCGCTGGGAGAAAACTCTTTGTGTTACAAAATGGATCTGATGTTCATCAGAGTACAGAAACTTCGGAAGATTTTTTTTTTTGGTTTATCTGTACTTTTTTCTTTTGTTAGTATGTGAAAGATCTTTTCTTTTAAAAGCCGATTATCACTTCATTTTGCGTACTCAATCTTTCATAAGACCTCATATATACAATTAACAACAATTTTTGTTCGTCTGTATAGTGGACAATCGTGATAAAGTAACTAATGATTTTCCTTTGCTTGATGGATTAGACATTTGAAATTCAGTTCTACTGCAAACTCGTGGGCAAATATGCAACTTTCTAAGATTGCAGGAACCATTAGCATCCGTTTCTTTCAAGTTTATTTCACAAATTTGCTCAAGGTTCTTCGTCTTTTGAGGAGATGTGGCATTCAGATCTAGTTGAATTTTAACTTATTATTGTTTAACCTATTCTTGATGACACCTGTTTCTTGCATGGGAGGAGATTTATTTATCAATTTAAGAGTAGGCACTCGCCTCCTTTCGAGCTAGTTTCTCCATTTGACACTTTGCAAAACTTGTGTCTTTCTGAATGTTGACATTAATTAGACAGTTTGTTCCTTTTGCTATTGACTTATGTAACGAGAAATTGCAGAAAATTTTGCATTTAGGAAGCGAATAAAGTTTATCATAAGCAAATATTATGTAAACAAATTGTCTGGGAATTCTTTCATAATAATGGTGTTGTTCTTCTAGCGTTCACTCTTAGTAGTCCCAATTATGATCGATAGGACCATTTAAAAGTGAGGAAGCATTATTCAGATGTTGCGGCCATTTCTTTCATTTGTTACATAAAATGTTTGGAGAAAATGTGAGCAAATTCTGGTGTGGTGGTTGTTTCGTGCTTTCACTAAAATTGAAAAGCAAAGGCATGTATTGTGCTAACAATTATGTATGGTTACGTGCTTTGCAGTTTCTAATTTTGACTTGGATGCTGCGACTTGTGTGATGAGGTTTGTTGATGTTGTAGGTGAAAATGGAACATTTATTAAGACCTTCTACTGGACTCAAGGCTTTTCCACTCTGAAGTAGAATGAAATGATTTTGTCCTAAATACTACTTTCGGTTTCTATACCTTTGCCTCCATGTCTCGTCTAATTTGAAGCAAGACGAAATGCAGCTTACCGCTTGTACACTTTCGAACAGGGGTGTCAACTTGTTGGATTTGGACCCAGAACTGACCTGGATCCGATAAATTTTTTCTGATTTCGATTGAAAAATTATTCCGATGCCCGAACCGGATCCCGGCCCGTTCACTATAACAAAAAAAGGGTCGGATACAGAATATAAGATTCCGATCCGTATCCTGTTTGGACCCGAATAATATATTAATAATTATAAAATATAAATATTTCTAAATACATTTTCTTTACCAAATTAACAATTTAATAATGACTTTATAGATTAATTTGTGATTAGTTTTGGATTGACTATTGCGAGTTATTTGTGATGTTAAGCTTCCCCGTTTGGCCTTCCCTTCGGTTACTACCGATTCAACTTCAACTTGTATGATTTGTGCAATGATTTATTGTAACTGATTTAAACACAATCCTATCTGTGACATAATCTGTAGCAATTACGTAATTCAACTTGTAGTATGATTTGCGCAATGATTCTAAATGAAACTGATTTAAACACAAAACTCTTATAGGTCTCTGAAAATTCGTGGCATAATCGGTAGTAATTATGTAATTTACTAGATTGCATTTTTTTCATAAGTGAGAGCATTTGAACCAAAAACCTCTTACAACGTCTCCCATCTCATCATCCAATCTAACCTTCCCTTGTGTAATTTACATGATTTTACATGAAACTGATTTAAACACAATGCTCTTATAAGTTTCTAAAAATTCATGGCATAATCGATAAACACAATGTTCTTATCTGTTTCCGAAAATTCGTGACATAATCGATAGCAATTATACAATTTACTAGACTGCATTTTTTTCATGAGTGATAGCACTTGAACCAAAAACCTCTTACTTACCGCGTCTCGTATCTTACTACTCAATCTAACTCTCGCCCTCGTAATTTACAAGATTGCATTATTATTTTAATGTTTTATTTTTACTTTTTTTTATTTATCTATTCTATTGCTCATTACTGTGTACAACACTTGAACATATCATTTACTTAAAGACTCAAGCGTTCCTGCAAAACAATTTCATATCTTTCCACCAATACAAGGGTTCTGAATCCCATTAACAACAACCCAAATAAACAAGGAGAAAAGGAAAAAACAAGAAACCTCAACTATTTCTCTAGCTTGGCTTCCATGGCTGATCCATATTGAAGGGAGCAATGCTGAGAAGAAGAGATGGCAAGACAAGTGGTAGAAACAAGTGGGCTTAGTTGGTGGTTGGTGGCCGTGATAATGGAGTATGAGAATTGAGAAACACCAGTAGAGAGAGAATGGTTAGAGAATATCTGTTCCTACTTTGTTTGGTCTGGTCATTAATGAGAAGCAAAATTGTTCCTACTCAGGAATGATGATTGAAGTATTTTGGGTCTTCCATTACCATAGATTCATTGTCATGGTAGAGTACCAAACACTTGATGGCCATACCCATTGAATACCCCCAAAAACCCTCGAACCAACGGGTGGTAAGTTCATTCAGCGGTCAAGGCACACACACTCCCATAAATTCTCTCAATTGGTTAGGCATGACTCTATCCTAAGATATTCACAACACTGCCTAATTATTCTTTTACATTACAATACTTGGATCCAGAAGAATTATTAGAAGTGCATTAGAAAAGTTTGGGGTCACCTAAAATTGTCATGAAAATAAGGACGCAGTCCATTAGATTCACCTGACAACCAATACCAATAGGCAAAAGACAAACTGAAGGTAAATGAATGAATAGTAATTAGAGCTAGAGATAGATAAAATCCTGGAATAAAAGAAGCAAGAATACACAACCAAAAGTTCCAAAACCCAACTCAGCTCAAAAACAACAATAGCTAATAAATACCTTATCATAATGCGAAATTAAAGAAGAAAATTGTATCAATAACTGAACTTTCAGAAACTTCTGTCCTGTCAGGTGACCTACTAAGGTTCACAGCGAGAATTACCCCTAGTTTTACATAAATACTGGGAACCAAATCTTAGTAGCAAACTATAATATCCTCCATTTCCTCTCCAATTCGTAGCATATACGTCTCACACAGGCACCCGCACTCAAGGGAAGTGCAGAAACTACAAGTACAAAATCCAGATATGATATTAACATATAAAGAAAACGAAGAAAAAAGGCCAATTCATATGCAAAGCCATTTTACTCACAGGAAATGTGAATTTTCAAGCATGTAGACTCAAATAAAAACAGTACCTGATATAAGATCATCTGTGTAGTCATCATTAATTTTCCCATGAGCCATGGCACCAATCTGTTGGGAAGTTTTCAAAATTTTAGGAGTGGTCTACCAGAAAAAATGATAGTAAATCTAATTAAGACACAACTAATCCAAGGAGACCTAACCACGAATACAGGAGTGCAATCATTGCCTACATCATCAACATAGTCGCGCAACCTTACAGCCTTTGGCGAACTAACAGAGAGCCCTGAAGCAAAAAAAGTTTATCCATTGTCAAATAAACAAAAGAAAGATGCATTTTCCATGAAATGAGCAAATCAACAGATTACCTATTATTCGAGAATTAACAGGCAAATGCTTGACCAAAGGGTTCTCAATCAACTGCATTAGTTTCTCACCCCCACCCCTAGCTTTGATACTAAACTTCTGCAATAACTGGGCTGCATCATTTAATAAAGTGATACAGGGAACACAAACGAGCAGAATGAGAGTAGGCAGATGGAAAGAGCACATATAATAAACATAAAACAACACAGAAGACTCACACATCATAGCACAAAATTTGCCCAATGTCGGCGGTATGCGAACATGTGGCTTGATTTTGATAAGATGCCCAAGATCAGTTTTAACGAACACAGCCTGAACCATACCAGCCATATTAAGTCGGCTGCCCAATATATCAACGAGAATCTGGAGATAAAAGATGTAGCAAAATAGATGGTCAATGTGAGTAAAATTTTGAATTAAAAAAAAATGGGCTCAAGCAATAACAATAGACGAATAAATAGCACTTTATTGCCACAATGGGATCATTAGTTGACAGAACATTATACATCCTTTGCACATAGTCATATGGAATACAAGCGTTCACAGGTAGAACAAGAAACAAGGAAAACATTCCATGCAGATAAATTAGAACATCCAGATACAAAATAAACCAGGCTGCCATACTTCACGCTTTTTTTCCTTTTATTTTTGTATTTTGATTTTCGGCCCTATGGAGGGCTGAAGACCCATAGCTATTCACAAAGATGTTGCTCTCGGCATATAGACCCCTCTGAATTCTGCTCAAGAAACTCCTTGATTTAAATGCTATATTGAAAAGATAAGAATCGTCCACAATGTAAATTATTAATGGAGAATGGGAAAACATGAAAGCAGCAGAAAAGTAACTAAATACCAAATACTACTCCTTCAGATGGATGTTCATTTATACAACAATAAAGAAATGGAAAGGCCTACAAAACACAAGGTGACAGATGCATTTCTAATGCATTTAAGTCAGAGAAAAGCAGGAATCTCTTCACTTCTAAAGTGACCGACAAACGAGAGACCATAAGTGGATGAATGCATACTTAACGCTGTTGGATATTCACATCCTATGCTTTTCTCTTTACCTACTACTGCATATAGGTAGAGGCACCCAAAAAAAACACACGCGCGCACACACACGATTCTATTTCATTTTTAAGCTTTGGATTTTGTCAATACTATGAAACTTGGATACAGATAACCCAATGGAAACCCTATAGATTACACAAAATAACTTAGTACCAAACCAGATTGAATGTGAGAGAGAGGGGGAGAGAGAGAGAGAGCTTTGTCAAAGTCAAGTGTAATCAAGTAGACCTGTCTAAATGCTTTTCCTTCTTATCTTTATCTCCAAAGTCCTAGTCAACTAAATCAATTACCCTTTCTATTAATCCTTACCCTCGGACCCTCTTCTCCAATCTAAGGGTATCAACATTCAAAATACATGATAAATTCCAGGGAAAAATGAACTCATAGTAATTTAATATTCTTTCTTTCACATCATTAGGAGGAAAGATTTCAGGAAAGCCACATGGCAAGGTGTGTAATAATCATGGAAAACCATAGAATTTGTAATCATGTTTAAATAGATTTCAAATTCACATGCTTAAGAGATTTTATGATGCTGGAATTTTCAAAACCTGGAAACTTCATAGAAAATGGCAATGCAAATTAAAGAACCTCAGAAACTTACATGTCCCATTGGTATTGCGAAAGCAACATACAAAAGTAAAAGAACATCTCCTGAATTAAGAAGTAAAACGGTAATAAATGATTTATACAGAGAAACAGCTAACTTATTTGGTTCTCCTTTGCCTGCCTGCTCCATTACTTAAATAAACACTAGGTAATGCCTCTATACCATATTACCATGACACCAAGATTTAGACTACATCTAAATGAGAAGCTGCCAGGGCTTGAAAACTAAGTAATGATAAAGGATCATCCTTAACAAGAAATACATAGGAAGCTATGACTCGGAAAGAGGGTTTAGCACAGTAACTCTCATAAAAAAAAATCTTTACTGAAATTTTAGTCGGCAAAATACCAAAAACTACAATATTAATTAAATAAGCAAGGCCCTGAGATTTATGCATGGGACTTAGTCATTTCTAAGTTCCTAAAGTAAAAAATAGAACATGGATGACAGACATAAAGAAATATGCACACCCACCACGCACGCTCACAAATACACACACACATATATATAATGTATGTACATTTATATGTATATGTATGGAGAGAGAGAGAGAGAGTAAATATACAATTGTCACTCTGGGCGTATATGCAAACATATTATACAAACTTGTTTATATGCCTCTCTCTATGTATACCAAGATAGATGATTATGACATTTATACCACTTACAACTTTAAGTAGAAATTATATCTACCTCTAAATCTGCCAAGACTGATCAGTCATAAGCAGAGTATGTCAAGAATAAAGGACTAATAATTTTTTAGTTACCTTGAATGCTTCTGAAGAAAAACAACAAACAAAATTTGGGATAAAGATTTCGTACACATCTTCTACTTTGGAAGTTGAACCTCAAACTGATTTCAACTCGCAAGTACAATCTAAATGCAGGAAAAACATTGAATATCGCTTGCAGAAAAAGAAATAAAAATGAACCATCTAGAGGGTGTTAGCCTACCCTAAACTTGGTAGAAAAAGGACCAAAAACAACTGAAGTTTACCAAACAAGATCATTGATTTTCCATATGCAGTGGTTTAATTTACAACAACAGTTAATTACAAATTGATTGTCACAATATTAAAAGGAAAACCTCGCCAACTTGACCAAGAAACTAAAGCCAAAGAAAGACGATCCATCAGAGGAATGGGAAACACTAGGTTTCTGAGGTCACATTTGACTGTATAATTACGGATCACATATTAGATTCCCTAGATGCAACTTCAAGTTAATTAACTTGTATCTAATTTATCCTTCAATGAAACCAGCCTATAATACAAATAATTCTCTCAGCCCTCAATTGCACAACTCACAATCTTCAGAAAGAAAACATACAGGTGTATGTCTAGCACATGAACATTGTAAAATGTGAAAGCAAAGAGCATATCAATATCATTTTAGTCTAAACTGACGCATCAGAGCTCACAAAAATCTCATAAAAAAACCCCAGAAAAAATCATGAGTGGATTGATAACAGAAACAAAGGAATTTCCTTGAGATATTCACAGTATCATCTTCAGGTAATGCGTGAAAAGCCATAAAACTACTTTAAACACTCTGCAAGTAATATCTTCAAGGTAAATTTCCAAATTCAACAACTCTGTCTAGATCATAGCATTCATCAAGTAGTGCTTTCATGAAGATTACCTCATGGACAATATCAGGTCTGTAATCATAAGGATTCATGTTCTTCTTCCTTAAAAAATCAGCATGCTTGTCGGGATTCAATATCTCATATGTCTGCAGGAAAATAAAAAGAGACAGCAGCTTGAAATTTAATAATGCATCAAGCGTTGAGCCTAATTCTGTAACATCCTTTGAACAAACTGAAGAAAACAAAAACAACATAAATATTTAGAGAATGAAAAAGTTAAAGAGTATTATCCTCATGTACCCTGCCAACATAAGCAGGCACAAGTGAAGCTTTTTCAAGAACAAACACTACACCAGATTTTGGATGGTTGGTCGAAGGCACTGGTGGAATTCCCGGAAGTATATCCTCAGAGTCACCAGCTTTTGCCTCCTCTTTTCTGGCTTTTGCCATGTCTTTCTTCCTCTCCTCATCTTTGCTGACAGCATGTTCATGTTCTTTCTCTCGTTCATGCTCTTCTCTAGAATGACTTAGAAGCTTCTTCACTGAACAAGGACGCAATATGCTTTTCCTCTGTCTTCTTTTTACCCTAATTTAAAAAATAATAAACGTCAAAATGGGAAACTGGCACATGGCAGAGTACAATGGGATAAATGATATGATCCAGAGCCCTCCCCCCCCCCCCAACTCTAGTCCACGAAGATCTCACATACGAAAGTTATTCAAAGTTTCAAGTTGTGCCGTTCATTTGGTCTTGTTGAGCAAGGGCTTATTTGTCATTTTAGTTGCTGTTTAGTTATTTTATTCTTGTTAATAAATTCAGCCAAACAGCCCTTCTAGTTGGCCGAATATTAGATAGCCCATTTTAGTTATTTCGGCCCAAAGGGGTCCTAGTCTAGCCGAGTTTGCTTAGGTATTTTTTAGTTCAAGTGATTCCAATTCACTTTAGGTCTAGTTTAAGTGAATCCAATTCACTTTAGGTCTTCTAGTTTTGTATGGCTATATACAGCCCAAGTAAGAGACCTTCAAAATCAGTTTTTGATCAATAAAATTTCGTGAGTTAATCACTTTTTTTTTTCCAAGAGAGCTCCTTTGAATATTTGAGAATCTTTCTCAAGTTATTCATACAGAACTTATCAACCAACTATCTCCTTGGTTGTGGCGTTCTACTACGTATAATTTGATTCGCTAATTCGTTAAGTCGCGGGTTGAGATTGTATCAATATTGTTCACTACTTAGAGGGTTAGATTGGGTCACATTCTCCGCTGCCAAACCGTTGGTGTCACTGTCTAGATCGTGTCCAACTATGTATCACATCAATAATACAAAACAACAGGAAAACATCCAAAACAGAATAAGGCACAAAAAGAATAGCATGCTAAAACAGTCAAGATCTGCTATTAAGATAACTGAATACACTCTTCTCAACTAATCAGAAATGCAGCCAAAGACCTCTGGTCATAGCCATTTTAACTTATCATTCTTCCAGGTTTCAGTTCTAGTGGATAACCATTACCATTCCAAAATTAAATTCAAAGAAAACCAGATAAATTAAATTGTGAGCATGTACGCCTGATGCTGAAGAAGGCTTGGGATATTGTAGTTCAACAAGCTACAACTAAGTCCTTGATCATTGTAAAGAAGGCTTAAGAAAGAAATTCCACTGCCTTATCATTCCAAGTAGGTATTATCTCTAGCATGCACATACTAGATAAAACAGACATGTATTAAGTTTCTCAGTAGAGCCACAAAACCGTCTCTAAACCACATCTATACAAACTGCACAACAAAATATGACAACCTAGCAATGTTTGCCTATGTCACAAAACATACAAAGTGGTCTTGCATTTATCAAAAACTTAATAAAACAATCCCAACTTGAAATTCAAGGAAAACTCTGTTAACAGTATAGATATAAAAAATGAAAAGTCATAGAGCAAAACTCCAACAGCAACATAAGCAATATTTTTTAGCACTGAAAAAGATACTGTAAAAATAACTAAAATCATGTCAAGAAATGGTAGGAACAAATCTACTTATTCCAATACAACCAAATAATTTCACTGCCAAAAGAATAACAAATATTGGTGTCAAAAGAAGTACAAACAAAAAATGGTGAATGATGGTTTTTGGTGGTAGTGACATAAAAAAAAATTATCAATCTACTCCTTATCTTGGAAAATCTAGTCCATAAAGATTCCTCTGCTACTTGCAAAAATGACACTGAATTCAACTACAGATCAGAAAGAGGACAAAGCTCTCCAACAAATTTCAAGAGCCAATAGCCAGTTACCAAAGACTCCGCTGATTATAGATAAGTCGATAAGGAAAACCTCGAGGCAATCCACGTGCAATAACCATCACTAGCTCTTTCAACTGCACAAGAGACGCAAAAAGTATAGTATCAACTCTCACGCGTCATTAGTAGCATGCAATGCCTCCCAAAGAATTAAAACTTCTCCATGTAATAGTTCAATATGCAGCTCCTACATTACATTCTTCCAAACTCTTATTTCAAGCAACATTGAGAACAACATTAGTAGATAGTTATACCAATTATCAGGCCAAAATTAACCAGTAACGTTCAGAGAAAGCAGGTCCAGCATCTAAGGAAGCAAGTACAACACGAAGTACAGAATTCATCAATTTCATACGATGGCCATGGCCAGTTTAACGAACAAGGGGCAGCAGCAAATAATTGTTCAAAGGTATTGCAAGCTCAACCAAATCACCAACTTCTGAATCAATGGCATTCATACAAGTAGTTAACCTTGTAATTTTATACTGATTGAACTATCTTAGTACATGCAAAAGCTTCAGAGAGAGTCAACAAAAGGTGCTGAAGAATGCTTATCACTGTCTAAAGTAATAAACCATTTTTCCGAAATTCAAAAGCAAAGGGGGCATGCCTGGTTCAGTGACTTGGACGGGCTGCTCCAAGAAGGAGCAAACGAGTCGGAGCGGCTGATGCCGGGTGTGTGGACTCAGTGAATCTAACGTGCAACGAGTCATGGGACTCAATCAGTTTCATTAATCAAAAATTTATGCAAAGACAATGCCAATCAATTCCCAACAACATCCCAAAATAATGATAAGTGAAATCCAATTGGATAAAATCAATGAAAGAAAATTGCACCAGAAACAATCAGACACTACTCTACTTACCTGTATTTATGCCAAACCTGCCTCCCCAAAAAGCCACTGAAAGAACAGCGATTGGGAGGGAAAGAAGGAGAAGGGGACTGAGACGGGCGACTGGTTTAGCTGGGGAGTGGCCGTTGAGTGGAATGGGTACTTTACCATGCTGGCGGGTTTAAGATGTTAGCGAAGGCCGTAAAAAGGGTTTTGCGGGGGATTTTGCCAACTGGGCAGGCTGACTGGTGCAAGGGAAGAGAAGGGAAGCAGAGGGCCTAGTGGGAAAAAGAAAGTGATTTCATCAATCTTGTTTAAGATTAAATCTGGAAGCAAAGAATCAAAATATTGAAACTAGATATTGTTAGATTATGGAAGGGAAAAAAAAAAGGAAAGGAAAATATTATGTGTTAATGAGAATTTTACCCATAACTTAATATAGTCTAATTTTAAATTTTTTTAATTAACTTAAGTTTTCTTTCTCTCTATTTTTGCCCACTTTTGGCGAACTTCTCTATATATTCTGAAAACAAGAAAACATCACAAAAGTGGTATCGGTTGGGGTTGGGTTCTAATTTAAAGGTCGTCGCAAATAGTATGTCGCGCCCCATTTTTTGTAAAACGAGTGATGTGTGGATCGAAAATTGGTGATGTGGTGTTTAAAATAAAAGAAAAAGGCCATGTGACTTTAAAATACGACAGTTTGGCCAAAAATAGTAATCTAAAAAGCTTTTGGTAAAAATGTAGGAGTCACCACTTGGTATTGAGTTAGGGTGTACTAAGTCACCCAAAAATGTGGATTTTAAAAAAGTAAAACCTTTTTAGATTGACTCCAAAATCTACGACAAATCACAGAAAATGGTTCAGGGGTCACAGTTGAAGAGAGGCAAGGCAAAGACAATGTCTAAGGCACCCTCTCAACCTAGCCTAAGCTAATTACATGATTTAGTCATGATTTTCCTAATTTCTAACCAAAAGATGTATCGCATTTAGATGTAACTAACATGGATGCAATCCTAAATCTAATGATGAATCGAAAGGGACAAATATCTCTTAGAGGCTTAATCGGACTTGATCATATGAGTTGTGATAGCCAAGGATAAGCCCTCCAAGAGGTCACAAATAGTGCCAATGATGTAAAAATGAGTGAAATGGATGCGTGCAATGTGAACAAAATGAGCGTGTGTGAAGTGAGAATGTGTAAAACGGTAATGTGCAAAGTGATAATATGTAAAGTGAGAGTGCAAAAGTGATAGCGGGCAAAGTGATAGCGTGCAGAGTGAGAATATGTAAGATGAGAGTGTGTGAAGTGAAAATGTGCAAAAATTGATAGTGTGTAAAGCGGGGGTGTGCAAATAGAAATGTGCCTTGGAAATGCATGAGCCTTAAAGGAATGCAAACAAGACGGGTACGAGAGACTAATGTTTGTGACTCAATTTTCCCTTTAGTAGAGGGAATACGAGCGTGCTAAGACTAGAAAGCCAAACTCATCCATATCCCATACTCAAGGAGTTATTTCCTGCTCTAATCAGGCAAATATACTAATCTACCCCTAATTTCCTAAATGAGATGTAAATCTAAATGTTATATACACATAGGGGCAAGGGATATTTTATTAGAGGAAATATTATATGCAAAATGATAAAGATCCTAATACTAGAAAAAATGCATGACATGCAATGTAATCATGCAAACATGATCTAGCGAGGGGGGTTCTTAAGGGTCTAGCGTTGGACTAACCCATATCTACAAATTCTCACTAGCGTTGGACTCGTGAGAAAATCAGAACAAAGAGTCACAACAGCGTTGGACTAGTGTGGTGACGACATGCACTTGTTACAATCAAATAAATCATGTAAAACCTAATAAAATCACATAATATCACATAAACACATAACACATAATCATAATATCTAGATGCAGGGCCCTAAGAAAGCGGTAACACATAGCACATAGGCATGCAAATCACACAAAATACATAAAGCAAATAGAGCCCTAACTATTACATTAGGGGGGGGGCCTAACTACAATCTAAGAGGGGGGAAAGGAATAAAATAATTAAATTCCTAACTATTACATACTTTGGCATTTAAATGCCCCCAAATAATTAACTAAAGAAAATGAAATTAAAGAAAAGCAAAGTAAATAGCTAAATCAAACCAAACAAAATAAAAAATAAAAAACGAATTAAAGCATGCAAAATTCATGAAAGCACATAGGAGTACGTGGGAAAAATAAAATTAAAGGGATAGAGGTTACCTCCCTTGCAATGGTAATCAAATGAAGAAAAAAATTAGCTTTAAAACAATAAAAATGTCAAGGCACCAATTAAATAGTAAAATATAAACAAAAACACAAAAATAAGTTAAACCAACAAATCACCAAATCCTTCCCAATTGCAACTTAAATGTAATCAAATAATGCATAGTGACAAAGAAGGTAAATTATCAATCAAATTTCTAAAATAGAAACTACTAAGGACCCAATAGCAAACATTAACCAATCATTCAAGTCCAATTAAAATATTTTGGGAACTTCAAAGGTCCATAAGTAATGAAAAGGTCAAGTAATGGTTCAAATTGCAATTACTCTAGGACCTAATTGCAAGAAATCAGAACATAATTGGGCCTTTGTAGCATTGCTTCAAAATCACAGGGACCAAAGTGTAATTTTCCTTTTGTTTTTCATGCATGCACACGAAGTCTTCTGCCATTTTCTGAGTTTCAACATCTATGAACCGTACAAAGCAAAATCTCATACAACGAGAACATGCACTTCATGTATTTTATTTCCATAATCAAATGCTAAAAATTCATCAATGGAAGCAAAGCATGTTCAGCAAACGAATTGTCCAAGACAAACATGACAGAGAAGCAAGACATGCAAACAATCAATGAAGGAATGGAGAAACACTTCGGCAACAACAAACCTGCCCACTCTTGCTGTGTGTATTCTAGGCGTGACTAATACTCATCAAAAGAAAACCCAACATCTGACTAATTTATCAAAGAAAGACATGAAACAAAGGGAACCCATGAAATGGAAGAGATAAACAAGAGAAAACAGCACATAAGCACTAACGAATAGATTGCTGTCTATCTATATTCAGATTCTTAGGCCAATCTGGCAAACTGGAGAAAACATATTCTTCTAGTTCAAAACATTACTCAGTGAATCAGCAAACAGGGCAAACTTTTTTTGCAGCCTTTAATTGTCTTCAAGAAAAGTAGTTCCACAGCAAACTATATCAGCAATTTTTGCACACCACATACATACTAAACCATCATCTGATACAAAAAAACAGCAAGAACCGACTCCAAAATTCCTTGTTTCTTTTCCTCTCTCCAACTAACAAACACAAGTTAGCCAGAATCCCTCTCACGCGTATACAGAAAGATGCACGAAATCTCATCTTTTTTATTCAAGACTTTGTTTAGGCATTTTATCAAACACTAAATGGGCATGGAAATTTCAGCAATTCCCTACTCAAATGAGGTCTCGATTGGCCCCAAAACTGACAGCAAAACCAGAAATTTCAACCCAATTAACAAATAAAGCAGTAATCTTTCAGAAAACGTATGCAAATCCACCAAGAAATTGTGATAAAAAAAACAACAGAGCTTCAAGCGTCCATGCTTAAAAAACTGAAATTTGAAGGAAGAAGATAGCTTACAAAGCTATACAGGTGATGATTGAAGGCGATGATGGTCGTTGATTCCCGCCGACTCCAGCCTTTTCCAGCCGCTCCTTCGTTCTTTTCTTTAGCCTTTCTCTCCTGTTTTTGTTTTGCTGTTCCAGGTTTATTGCCGAAGCCTTTTTCCTCTGTTTTTCTTTTTTCGTCCCAGATTTTCCTTCTTCTTTTCTAGCTCTCACTCTCTCTCCCAAGCTCCCCCCAGTTGTTGTTTTTTTCGTTCTTCCTATTTTCCTAGCCGCTGTTTCTCCTTTTCTTTTTCCTCCCAGCCGGCCATCCAATCCCTCTTTTGATTTTTCTTTTGATTTTTTTTTGTTTGGGAAAATCGTCCAAACCGTCTATCATATTTTGTAAAATAATTTTTTTCGTCCCTCACTTAAAAGTATAATTTTATATCCCTTACATATTCATATCGATCAAATTTAGTCCCTAACTAGATTTCCGATCATTTTTTGACCGAAATCCATCACGTGCAAAACACGTGATCATTTTTTAAGGGTAAATTAGTCAAATTATATTTTATATAATCTGATCTATAGCCCTTCACATTTTATAAAACAAATTTTTTCGTCCCTCACATTTTATAAAATAATTTTTTCATCCCTCACATTTCACAAAATGAATTTCTCCATCCCTCACATTTCAAAAAATGAATATTTCCATCCCTCACTAATTATGTATGTGAGGGAAACCCTAAAAAAAAAATGTGTGTAAATACATTTTGTTTAAACACATGTATTTGTCTATTTGATTTTGCTTAATAATACGAATAGCATAAATATATGTATGTGTCTATTTGATTTCATTTAACAATACGAATACCATATATTATACGTGATCATTTGATTTCATCTGTTATTAGCTAGTCAATAATCTTGCATTCATTGTCAAGTTGGCCAATAAAGCTATTTTTGGTCAAAATACAATAAGAATATGCAAATTAAGGTTCTATTCGTAAATATTAGTCATAATCATACAAAAAGAGAAGATAGCCCACAAGTTGGGTCCAATTACATACATGTGTTTATACTATTATTATTAAGCAAAATCAAATAGACATATACATGTGTTTAAAAAAATGTATTCACACACACAATTAGTGAGAAAAGAAAAATTCATTTTTTGAAATGTGAGAGATGGAGAAATTCATTTTGTGAAATGTGAAGGACGAAAAAATTTATTTTATAAGATGTGGAGAACTATAGATTAGATTATGTAAAATATAATTTGACAAATTTACGCTTCAAAAATGATCACGTGCCTTGCACATGATGGATTCCGACCAAAAAATGATCGGAAACCTAGTTAGGAACTAAATTTGTCCGATGTGAATATGTAAGGGGTATAAAATTACACTTTTAAAAGTGAGGGATGAAAAAAGTTATTTTACAAAATGTGAGGGATGTTTTGGACGATTTTTCCATTTTTTTTCCTCAAAATCTTGGGCCTCCAAGTGTCTCTAACACCTAAACCCTTAGGTGCTTTGTTGCCCAACACACAAAAGGACACTTGTCCCCACTGCATGCCCCCCACTTGTCATTTTTACTTTTTTCTTTTTTCTTTTTCTCT